ATAAATAGCATGTATTATTAAAATATGAATATTTTAATCACAAGCACTCGTGGGTAATCTTCATTTTCATTTTTTAATTATAAAATAATTCATTTGGTCTTAAATATTACTTTATTTATGTTATTCAGACAAATTTGAACTTTAATTACGCTCTAAATATTTAACATGGATTAATTATTATATAATATTAAATATATTATAATATATTTTATGTAATAATCAATAAAATATTATCCATCCATGCGTATTGAATGTTGGAAAATTAATAATCAAAACTGTACCATTTAACATTTAATAAAATTTCAAACTATATTTATATTAATGTCTAGACAATGCACGGCTTTTAAGATGGGCAACACTTAATTAGAACTTTATGAAGATATAAAATATTTTCTGAGGAAATTATAATTAATTAAACTATAACCGTTTTCGTAAAATTTAAAATTCAAAAACGCACAAAATATAATGCGTTATTTTTTTATTTTTTAATTTTTTAAACAGTTTTAAAGCATAATCTGTGGAGTATTATTAATATAATTGTTGATGCATTAAACCAAATTATGTTGCACTCTCTATGAACTACCCCTAGGTAGAATCAACGTTTTATATAATATGTAACTCAAATCAAATAATGATATAGGTACTTGTTTGAACTTTATCAGATTATACGATGACATAAAAATGTTTGATATTTTTTCCAGAGAAATGCAGATTTATATAGATGCCTGATTAACATGTTTACATTTATAATATCGAAAATATTTTTCTAAAAACAGCATAGACTCTTATATAAATAATATTAACCCTAATACTTTGTTGTACAATTTTTAAAACCATTTTATTTCTCTCGAACAATTTATATGAACTATTGAAATTACATTTTTAGCCAATACGCCGAGGTGAACAAATATAATACAAAAATCATATAATATAGGCTTAATTAGTGTTACTAGGGGTTTGGTAGAAGCAGAAAATAGCTTTAATGGTACGTAGAAGCTAAAAAAATAAAAAAATAGTGCTATAAAGAGTACTTGCTTGTTTTTTAACTTAAAAAGTACCTAATACGATATGTTTACAATAGAGAATCGTTATACTTTAAAAGTAACTATTGAGAGACATTATGTTGTCGAATGACGGAACTTTATTTATGATGTTTTATAAAATGAAATGAGACATATTAGAAAGCAAATATTTTGATGCTATTATAGATGTCTCCTTAGAGAATCACGTAGGATTCGATTTGCAGAAAATTGCAATGATAACAAATTACACATCTACTACAAAAATGTACGCTCTTGTTACGCTTATCGATAACACATTAATAATAATAATATTATTTATTTGTCAATAAACTTGTAAAAAATAACAAATACATAATTTTAAAAATAATAAAAGAACTGATGCAACTGATTCTTCCACAAAAGAAAATATATATTTTTCAAAATCTTGCATTAATTAAAATTATAAAAAAGATAGTATTGACACCTCTCCATAAACGAAGCTTACGTAAGGAGATGATGAATTATATTCTACATAATATTAGGTTACAATATTGTATAATTTAAATCTAGTTTGTAAGAATATTAACAATTAAATATAACTATGTATAGGTACAATAAATATAAAAAGAAATTACTATAAAGATAATTAATATTAAATTATTAAGAGTACAATTATTAAGATTTAACGAATTAATATGAGTTGTTCCTTAATAATTCTAATGTTGAACGAATAATATTATGTTTATTATTTATTTCGACTACATAAAATTAATTTAGAAAAACTTTTATTGTAGTTCGTGAAGTTGAAACGTCATGCGACTATAAACAATTTTAACATAAACATTATTATTTTTATTATTAACAGATTATGCTCTTAAAACTTATGTAAGGGTATGGTCTATATACGTTGTATTGTTTGAAAAAAAAAATATATAAACAAAGACGTTTTCTACGTGTTCATATGATATTATAATGTACAATATTATATTGTAGCAAACATAATGGTAATTGCCAAATCGAAAATTATACTTCTAGTAGACAACAGTTATGTCAATTATATAATTCATGATGGATCTAACTATTGTACATCTCACAATAATCACCTAAGTGTTAAGGGTAAAGTTTATAATGGAATATCTCGAAAATGTTAGTAGATTTCGTGTACATATACATAGTATACTGTGTATAATTTGAGTTACTATGCATTATACATATAATAGTGTATTTGGATATAATACCGAACGTATATAAATTTAATTAAAGCTATACTGCTCTCTCTCTACATGTCTGCTTTAGTCGGGCGAAAGCATAAGTTTTCGTACAAATTGTGTATAATATAACCTATATCATATAAAAATTATCATAAACTCAAACGAACTGTAACAAAGCACTGTAGAGTATTTCTTAATTATTACACGGGTTCGACACATTCTTGCCAACTATACCTCAAGAATTATCATTCGAGTACCTCTTCGTTAAGACGTGAATACGAAGAAACAAGAATTGGAAATTAAGGCGCTTTGAACTTTTTATGCCGTCAAGAAATACGTATGCAAGTTATTGTAAATATTACATATCGTATTATCTGAATTACCTGGCGTTTCCCAGAAAATAATTTTGATTGTTCAACTCCTTAAGGGTGTAACTCGTTGTGGAAGCAATGTCTTTTAAAGTTTAAATAACCTAAAATAACATTTAAAATAATGCATATGTAACACTTAAAGTGTGTCTAACACATAAGCCCATTGAAAAAAAAAACTATATATATATAAATATTTATATTCAATGTTTTTCTTCGCGCCCTTACAGGTTTGTTGTGTTTATTAAAACTTAATAACCTTTACATGAAAGTTTATAAACAATGAATATTATATAAGAGTAGTAATTACAAGTCTGTAATTATCACAAAGATTATATGTTGAACATACAGTTTAACACGCATTTTCTGGCCGAATTCCTGGATTCTTACGTTCGTATATAGTTTGCGGTACTTCATGATTTTCAGTGAGGTAGATTTGATACGATATCGCTGCGATTCTATGCACTTCTACGTTATTTTTTTGATAAGTAGCTGACATAACTGTTAATTTCGATATGGTTCTCTTTTTATTCTTTTACTGATATTACATTACCTTCAGGTTTAGTTTTTTTTTTTTTGCACTTTTTTGCAGCTTGTTTTATTTGATATTTTATTACTCTATCTGTACACTTAGCATGAAATTTTTTTTTAACCGATAGTATTGTAGTAGAATTTTGTGAAACAATAATTTTTTAAACGATTAATATATTCTTCAGAATTAGCACTGTTCATTTTCAATTTCTTTTTTACGAGAAATGTTTCTGTACCCAATCTTCCGTAAAGGTTTTTGTTGTAAAAATGAATAATCCTTCTTGGTGTAACTGATTCACGAATACCAGCGTTGTAAGTTGTCACCATTCGAATTGTATAATATATAAGGGTAGTAATTCCAATGATATGTGAAAAAATTGTATTTAGTTTCTCCTGGCACCCTTCTTGGACATTATATGAATGATATGAAATTGATCGGAAAAGGTACCATCTCCGACGATAAGAATAATTGTTCGAAGTGTCAAAGCTTACAATAATCTCTTCAATCTACATTTCAAAATATTTTTAACGCTACTATAAATCTAGTTATGCAATCAAAACGAATCAGATTTAAATTTTTTACACTATTTGTACACTTAGTATGGCGATTATTATTTTTTATTGATGGTCGATGGTATTGTAGTAGAATTTTGAAATATACATCGACTGACCATATTTAGTTAATAAATATTATATCTTAACTTTTACCATCAATAGTAACATTTTTCAAGTAATTTTATTGTTGGTTGTTATAATTTTAATACATTAGTGTATCATTTTACGAATGTAAGAGTTAAATTTTAATTAAAAACCATTGAAACAAAATTTTATATAATGAGTTATATAACATATAGTTATTAACTATTAAACATTTATACCTCTGTGTTGAGTATTTAATTATTTATTTATTTATTTAGAATTTAATGGAGCTGAATTGCTCTTTTATAATATTCAATATGGTATAAATGACCAATTATGTATAAAATAGAAAAAATATACAATAATATATTATATTAAAAAGTAAATGAGTATATAAATTGATATTTGATTGGTAAATCTAATCTTACATAGAGAAAGAAAAATAAATAAAAATACAAAGAAATACATATGAAAAAATTAAAGAAAACACTGATTGACCGGGACTAATTAAAATTATTATGTTTTTTAAAAATATAATTGACTTCAATCTAAAAGTATCATGAGTTTTATTAAAAAAATCTAAAAAATTTGAGATTAAATTAGTTTCAAAGTTCTAAAAAAAAGGATTCATTACCTACTCTGGACTTAAAAAGTGAGACGGCAAATATCTTGATTTCTCTAATAGTTAGAGGGAATACGGAAATTGACTTGAGATTAAAGCTCAGGACATTTAATATTATAATTTAATGTCGTTGACGATCATAGTATCAAATAACTAACGTCTACATAGAAGAGAGTCTAAGTTTACTGAATTTTGAATTGGCGTAATAGAGTCTTTAGAAATTGGTAGGTTGTTCATATAGGCAATTATTTTTAAAAATCTGAGCCAAAATGAACACCAAGGTATTTTATTGAATAAGCTCTAATTATGATTATATTATCAAATGAGTAATTGTAAACAATCGAATAACAAGTGTAAGAGACAATTTTATATTTCTCTATATTTAAAGATAGAAAATAATTTTTGTTTCAAAATCAAAAATGTATCTATGTTATTTTGTAAATTTATCGAATCATAAATTGAATTGATTTGGGTGCAAGACTTTGCATCATCAACAAAAAGTAGAACTTTTACATTGCTACTAAAAATTTGAGAAAAATGTATAATAATATTATATTAATTTTTCTACTAGTGTTGTAAGAATCTATAATGTTGTGGATTTATTGTTTTTTTTTATTCATTTATATAGGGAAGAATGTCACAAATATTGGCTGCGGTTGAGAAAAACTCCATTGTTCGGATGCATATGTCCTCAGAATCAAGTTAAAAAACGTTGCGATCGTATTTTTGCATTGATAAATGAAAATCCGTGCATAAGTGAGTACAAAATTACAATCATATTTTATTTAGATTCTATTACTATTCATATTTCATTTAATATATGATAGTTCTCAAGTAGTATTTTGCATTTTACGAAAATTGTTACTCTTGTCAAATCTTTTTAATTTTTTTTATTAAGATTTATATTTTTTATAAGTAAGTTTAATTTATAAAGTGAAAGTGTTTGTTGTTGTTATATCCACGGTAAAGTTATTCGTGCTTATCACAAAAAATGTTCTGGTCATAATGATTACCCAAATCATTTTAAATCCTTCTCTCCTCGAATATTTTTGGCTTTTACTCTGAATCCATCAAGATCTCTCCTAAAAAATATGAAATGTCTTATCCATAACATAATAACATTTTTTTCCCTCGTAACTGTAATGAAACGTGTACAATTTGAATATTAAAGAAGTGTTAACAGCAATAAGAACATAATAGAAACCATAACGTGCAATCTCTTGATGTTTAATACTGGCCAAAAAAAAAAAGATTATTGATAAGAATTTTCTTTCATATGACATTTTTCAGTTAAAAGTTACTGTATACAACTTTTGATGCATTTTTACTGTTAACAAAAGTATTTACAAAATCACTGTCGTTGAAAAACCAACGTATTACTTGCTCGCTTGGTATAACATGAGAAATAGTTGTAGAAAAACTCGAAAATATTATAAAAGTTACTATAAGTGGTTAAAAGAAAAAAAAATTAAATTACGTACTAATCAAACTGACTTAAATATTTCTTTTATTCGGTGTCGTATAATGCATTCGTACTGATTGGTTAGTTCATATTGAATTCGGAATGACATAATCAAAGATCTGATCATATAATATTATTTAAACTAAAATTATATTACTTTAATCGTGTTTATGATTACCAAATAAGAACATTTCCCAAAAGTAAAATAAGTTTAGCCCTTAGGTAGTAATAACGACAAGTAGAAATATCACTCGAGTATCTTGTTGCCCAAACTTTGAACCAGAATAGTTTATGAACTTTTCGTTTAAAATGTATGACAATTAAAAAGTGATGTGTTTATGTTCATATTATATAAACAACAATAATCTCTCCATTTTTTTTGACATTATAAAACCTATTGCATACATTTTTCCATCGAGGCAGCGAGTATAGACATAAAAAAATTGAGCCCCGCACACGCGAAACTAGTAGCATTTTCAATCAAGTAGTTAGTATAAAACCTCTCAGTTTTTCAATTTCATTTCACTTACATTATTATTACGTAACGATAAGCGAGTTGGTGTGACTTGGAAAAATAAACACTAGCTACTTAATGCACAATACAATTTGTACAAAAGGGTTTACCTATACTTGTGTATGACTATATTAAATAGTTTATAATATGTAAAATTTGAAAATTCACCAGTTTTTAGTCAAAATTATTATTAGCTATTAAATAGAAAAAACGAATAACAATATACATTTAACTTGTATTTTCATAATTTAAACATTAATACAGTTCATAAAGTTTTATATATTTATTTTTTATTTATATTAAATTTATAAATGCATCGACATCAACAAAAAAATAAAAAATTAAAAAAATATGGAATTTAATTGAATAAAGTTCAAGTGGCCTCAGTCGTAATTTCATTAATAATACTTATTGTGGATGTATACACGTACATCGTTAAAAATTATTTGTTTGATTAACAATAATTATACTTAAATACATATAACAATAAATAAGACATACATCTTATTATATACGTTGTACGTAATGACATGTTTTATAGATTTTTAATGCATTTTTTTCAATTTATTCAATAAATTACATTAATCGTAATAAAAAAAAAACCTTTTCTATGCCCTTTTAAATCACTAATCTGATGTACGGTACCTAAAGTATATGAAGTAACCATATAACCGTTTAAAAATCCGAATGTAAGCTTTTGTACAGCTTTTCATCGATTATTTAATCACCGGAAAACCGATCAAGTTGAACTTAAAGTCTGAAATTCAATAGTTAGAAGATAAGAACTGTAGGGGAAAGGACAAAGCTATTTTCAATACAGGATATCTACGAGATTGACCAATAAAAATAATTTCAATTGAACCTTTGCTTAAAGAAATTTACTGTGAAAATAACATTACGTTCATTGATGCAATATAGTTAATTTTTTTCTATACATTTCTTTAGTTAATCTAATAAGTAATAGACAAACGTTTTTAGGTTACTAATGAAATCGGTATAATACGTAAGAAATCGTTTGAAAAACGATGATTCGTTAACCGAAAAAAATCGTATTAACCTATAAATGATGTTTGAAATTTCAACGAAAATGATCAAACAATCAATATTTTACGTTTATATGATTTCTTTATGCAGATGTGCGATAGATTTTTGTAATAAAATGTAATGTTAATATAAAAAATATGATTTTTATTTATTATGGTATATCTAACTTGCATAAATAAATAGTTATTAAGCGTAGCATTATACTTACTGAAAAACGAAATTATATGATTACACAGGAATTTCATAATAAATAACACCCACAAGAGCAGTATATATAAAATAATTGTACTTGATATATTTTATCTTGTTATTGATTTTGGTTATTTTACTATTTTTTCTTTTATCTCATTAATTTAATGCATTATAACTGTGTCAACTTTTGGCTTTTTTGATTTTCAAGTTCTGGTAATTGTTTTCATATTATTCTCCAAAATCTGTAAAATGCCATCATACTTTCATGTTATCGTCATTATCTGTAGTCCTAAACTTATAATGGTAATTTACATAATATATAAAATAAACGAATCTGATTTACAAACATATACAATGTGTTTATTTATTATCATTTTATAGTTTGTAGTGTATGTGTTATGGTTCAAAGTGTTTTTTTCTTTTTTTTAAATAGCTATTTTTTATTTATGATTCAGAAATAAAAAAACCACATATCCCCCTTATACTTTTGATTTACCGTTAATTTATTATTATAAAATGTATTAGGTAGCATTTAAAATATAAATTTATAATAATAATTTATTGAATTTTAGTATAAACGCACGATAAATTCAAAATTAATTATGAATAATAATTAAATTTAAATTTCAGTACGTATTCATTGTTAAATTACTGCCGATAACTTCCAATTAAGGGTGTGGATAATTACTTTTTCTAGTTTTTGTTTACGTAACTCACTAGATTAATTTTCTCACGCAGATCGATTAACACGTGTCAGCTTATAATATTTTTGTATCAAATAATTTAGATTAAGTAGCTTACAAAATATTACTTATTTATAATTGTAACTGAATAATGAAATAAATTGATACCTACTAAGGAGTTATACTATGTTTGTTTATGAGCTTTTAGATTTGTGACGTAAATTTTGGAGCTCCAACAGCTGACTTGACAAACTTCCACGAAAACTAAATGTTTAATTTAAGACCGCACATTGACTCATCACATAGATCGATATTTCTTAACTTTGGTATATTGTTGCATTTATACATTCAAACAACAAGTGTAATTTATGCTGCAGTCTGTTGGAGCACTATGTTCATGATCAAGACAGTGTATTAGGGCTTTAAAACGAATTTAAGCGTTACTACGCGTCTATGACGACCACGGAAGTCGGAACACAGTATGAACAACACGATACCGATAGTTACAAGGGAAAATAAATATCGATCCTATAAATCGTTTATAACCGTTTAAACTATGTGCTAGTAAAATCCTGATCGTGTGATTAACAATCGTATTGTATTTCCGACTGTATGGTGCATTGAAACAACCAGCTTAACTTACCGTGTGGTTCGCGGAAAAGGAGGATTCTGAAAATAGAATCAATATCGGCTTAAAGTCTACTCAACATCGTTTAGGCTTACTGTTTTTAAAGTTTAAACCCTCAACAACTATGAACTGCAGTCGAACACTGCCGAAAGTTTCGGATGTTGTATGTTATTAAATACTTAAATACAAATTACAAATTTTGTTTTACAACGAAATATAATATAATTTAACCGATTGGCCTGGACATTCCTAAGTAGACTAGTCATTCCAAAATCGATTCTGCTTTCAGAATCCCCATCGATTCACTACTCGATCGAGCGTTCTAATGTACAAAAATAAAAATGTGTAATTCTTGTTATGTTCGCACGTTTCAAAGACGAAGACAACAACGTGATTCACTTCAGCGACTTTACTAATGTATAATAATATATTATTATGTTCCTATTATTCTATTGGTGGTTTAAAATTGTCGGTCTTTTACGTGTGCCACCGAACGAAATCGAAAAATATCACGATTGCTACGACTTTACGTGCTCATTATTGTTACAACATTATGCTAATAAAAATATGGTATTCACAACAATTCCGTAATGGCTTTTCCTTGCACACCGCGCCCATAAATTAAGGTCTTAAAAACAACCCGGGGATCGGGAATTCTACATAAATTAGTACATTTAACGTTAACCTGAACCCATTTAAATGCACCGTTATAATACATTTGGTGCCGTAACCTTTGAAATTGCACGCGTCGAAAAACTTGGCGCGCACGCGCTCGCTCGAATATCTACGGGCAGGGCCGTATTAGCGCATAGGCACTACAGGCACTCTGCTTAGGGCCTACAAACATTTTTGAGTATACGAAAAAGTGTGGGTGTGGCTTCGATTTTTTTGTAGTATGCAAATTGGCATAAAAGAATATGGTTTTTGATAATTCATATTATATATGTTTTTGATTAAAATTAATTTTTTTTTAACATTTGTGAAAACTTTTATCGTATAAAAATTTATAATAGTTATCATACAAGAGTTTATATTTGATTTTTATTTTGTAAATATTATTGTTTTTAAAAGCTTAACATTGCATGAGATTTAACACTTCCTCTCCCAAAGAGAAGGTTTTTTAACCATTTAAATATTGGACAACGACCCAGCAAGGACTAAAGGACTAGAGGCCTAGGGCCTACGAACGATAGTGTTAATCCGAGCCTGCCTACGTGGTACCACTAAGGAATC